AATATATATAGAATAAGAAATCCCAAGAGGTGCTGACATAATTTCAAAAGATAGTTTTTATCATTCTGCAATGACTTCCTAAATGCAGCTTACTGTGACTACTCTTAAATAAATCAGTGTTTTCCAGTCATATGAAAAATGCAAAATGTATACCTTTATTTTATAAAGGTTAAATCCTGTTCAACATGTCTAATCTAATTTAGCAGTTCAGCATATACTTTAGTTGTCTGCTGGAGTCATAAAAATTAGTCCCTAAACCATGTGAATTTACCATTTCATTTGTTATGCTGTTCCAATGAGCTTAATTACATTTACTATTAAGAACTGCTATCTCTTTTACTAACTGATGTTTTTCCTAACGTCAACTTCCAGTTACCTGGTCGTCTTATGCTATCATGTGGTAGAGGTAGAGGCCACTGCTGTCCTATTTCTTCTCTCATTATAGATACTGCTAGATTGTAAATAAATTGTTGTTTAGCTTTCCCTGTCTATAAATCTACAATACAGACTACAGTATAATGCAGAGATAGCATAGCATAGTTTTAAACTGCTAGCTTGGGTATCAGAAGTTGTCTAGCGATATCAATAACACAGTTCAGCACAGCCTAATTTACCCTCCCAAGAAGCCTCTGTAGTTAACCTGCTTCTCCAAGCTAGCTTGTTTATAATTAACTCACATACTGCTAAACCAGTAGTGCTCATAGTTTTGGTCCTGTGAGTCAGATGAATGGTGTGGGCTAGTGTGCAGGCCCTGGAAGCCCCTGCACCATACCTGCCTATTTGGGATCAGGTCCAGGGGGCCCCACACTACCCTGTGCACCCGATCTAGCATACAGGGTCATGGCCCACAGCATCCCCTACAGATCTGTGGGGAGCCCCATGGGCCAGATGATACTGTGCTGGGGAATGAATCTGGCTAAACTGTACCAGTCTGGAGGGTAGAAATATCCTTTGATGAACTATAAGACTGAACTCCTTAAGACTTCTTGTAAAATACCTTTTGTAGTTCCTTCCCCAAGGAAAGGCATATAGAAGGTTAACCATGCACCAGGCAATCAGCGATACTGAGCTACATTAAAGATGGATGTTGTCTAGAATGAATGGAATCCTTCCTGAGTGACTTGCAAGATTTGCCAAAGCTCTGTTGGACTTCCAGTTTCTGCAAGAATCCTTTCATTAAAAGTTTCCTTTTTTATGGTGTAAGGAAATTCCCAGGCAGAGTGTGAGAAGTAGCACCTAAGAATATTAAGAGCCAGCTAGACAAAGTCTTGGTTGGGATGACAAAGTTGGGGATGGTATTGCTTTGAGCAGGAGGTTGAACTAGATGACCTCCTGAGGTCCATTACAACCCTAATTTTCTATGATTCTAATATCAATTTGTAGGAAAACTTTTCCTTTTATTTTAAAGAGTTAGCAGAAAGAGAAGGTCCTCCACTTTTCCTTATGAGTTTTCTAGTTGATATAAGATTTGTTCTGTTTTACCTTAGAGTAAGCTTAATATATTATTAGCTTTGTTTTATGGTCAAAATGGGGGACAATCACTTAACTTTTCCAAAGTCTATAGTTTCAAATATATAAATATCAAGCAATTGTATTAGCAATTGTATGGATGCAATTCTTAGACTCACCATTAGTTCCACAAATTATACTGTTAACAGAACAAAACTAATACTTAGTTAAGCTATCATGCCATGACACCAGCTGGGAACAGATGAAATTCAAGAGAAACAAAAAGCAGAAAATTTACTTTAGTCAACTAACTCACTTGTAAGCGAGTAACAGACTAATTTGGACTGAATGTTCCTTGCCATTTAAGGACCCTAGTGTTTTATTATCTTGGAGCAAATATGGCTTTAAGACTCCAAGCAGATACTTATTTTCACACACACACATTTATATAACAGTAAAATGAGTCAACCTGAAAAAAGCCAGCATTCTACAAGTGCCTTTACAACAATATTTGCTTTAGCCAGTTCAATACTGATATGCAAGGATCCTGGTTTTCTCTGTTTAAAAATCCACATTTCTCTGATTAAAACCTCCCAAATCAGAGTTTTTGCATGTTTAAAATGAAACTCCATTATATATATATATATGAAATGGAGTTTCATTTTATATATCTCAATTGAACATGTTTTACTGATATATTATGATTTTTAAGCAATTTGGAAGCCTATCAGGTGCTGTAATCATTATACTAAAATAAATTTTAAATACGTATACATTTTGGCATTTGACTTTGGTTTTTTTATCATGGAAAATAAAAGATCTCCCTGCCCCCTTCACTCACTAGGACGTGGGTCCAGCTGCAGCTGTCCCCGCCACACTGCCTTGTGGTGCTAAGCAGCCCTGATATGCGAATGCCTTGTCCTGCCCATGCCATTGCCCCTCGCCTCTCAGTCTCAAGCCACAGCCCCCTGACCCTGCCAGTGCCCCTCACTCCTGACCTGCAACCTCCTGTTCCCTCTCTCCCCATTGCTCAGCCCTGCTGGATGGGGCCTCCAGTTACTAGGGCTATGGGACCTGGCGGCTGTATCCTGCCTGTCCCCTGCTCCTTTAACAGAGAGAATCTGTGTTTTTCCACAGCAAATAGAAAACCCGAATCCCTACTGATAAGTTATACAAACCAAATCATTGCTGAAACATCACTAACTCAAAGCTGTTGGAAAAAAGTTAAAAACCAAAATATAGCTGTGCAGAAAACATCAGCACTTTGGCATTTTTTGCATAAAAACCTGAGTAAAATTCCGTCACGTGTCGTCAACCTTGAAGCAGAAAGTTTATATTTGTTACACTGCTGTTTGAAACAAAAGAAGAGTTCTCTGCCCTTTTACAGAAAACTCTGAAAGCATGAAACTTCTGAAGCCTGGTTATCTTTTCAAAGGCATCAGGCAAGATCAAGATAAGTCTGGAATTCTGACACTGAAAAAAAACACGCTTTTGACAATGCATTTTTCCATGGTCCTTTCAACTCTGGAATTCATTCCCCATCTGTTAGTGTAAAACAGCATAAGTAGATGCAATTTCCTGGTCACTCTGCTAAAACAAATTTTTGAGAAGTGCTAAAGACAGACTGGAAATGGGGTTTCATTACAGAACATGAAGGAATGAAGATTTTAATTTGACTTGTAACATAGTCAGTCACAGAGAGTTGTACATATGAGAAAGAAGTGGTAATCTTCGCATTGAACAAGAACTAAGATAGCAGCAATTTCAGCAGATGGCAATAGTGGATAGATCCACGAATGAACATTTTCATCTATTATAAAATCAATTAAAAAAACTAAAGGATTTTAGCAGTCCAAACTTTGTCTGGGCAGTCATAAATTTGAAGACAGAATGACTGTCAGACTCCTTTTCTGGTTACCACTGTTAAATTGAATACAGACAGATTTCATTTTTATCTTCCTTTCCATCTATCAGAAAAACACACAGCACAACTTCAGATTACCTCTTCTAGAACAGTGCTTTCTAATAAGTGCTATGACGAGCCAAACAACTAGAACTGCCTTCTGATTAATTTCCTTATTTGATTGTGACAACCAGATGCCATCACATTAAGAAAAAGTTTTGCCTGATTTTTTTTGCTCAGGGACTGTGGGATATGCAATTATCCCATACTAAAATTTCCTGTTTCCCTTATTAGAAATTCCTGTATACATAACTCAACACGTCCATCACTTATATTACAGCAGCAACTAATACACACCACTGAAATAAGAATTGCTCACACAGTCAAGATTAAAGCCTGCTTGGAACTCAATGAAAATGTAACAATTCTCTGAAGTTTAGATATGAATTACTGTCTACAATGTTTGACACAGATACTTGTTTATGGACAGAACATTTTATTAAAAGTGTTTGTGGCAGAGCACAAGTTGTGCCTGCCACTTTAAGAGGTTTGAGCAGGCTGTGGACCAGCCAGCAGGTGTAGTCAGGCCCAATTAGGCAGTCACATCATCACACGCCCGCCCCCCCCCGATTGGGTGAGGGCTGGACAGTACCCAGGCCCTAGAAGCAGAGCCGGCAGTTACATCTAGGGAGCCAGTGGAGCAACACTGCATAGCCTGAGAGCAGCTCCTGGAACATCTGGAGGTTAGGGTAGGAACTCTGGGGGTGGAGGAGGTTCCTTCTGGTCCTGGGTTAGACCTGAAACTGCACCCTGCTGGGGTTGGATTGTGTGGCAGGACAGTCCCCAGGAAATGCCACACCAGTGCCCCCCAGTGGAAGGCAAGCCTGGGATGCTGTATAGCCTCAGCCCCCGCTGCCTTGTGGGTATCCTGTGGAGGGGAAAGGCTAGGGGAACACACCCCAACAGAAAAGCACAGGGCCCAGGTCCACCAAGTGGGGCCTGAGACAGGGGCCAAGGCCCACTGAGTGGGGCGTAAGGCTCAGCGGCCCAGAGAGGGGCTAGAGGCTGAGTTTGGCCCCGTGTGGGGCAAAAAGCCAGAGGCTGCATAGATTAGGGCTTGCGGGTGGTCTGAAGGACTGTGAGTAGGCTGGCCAAAATGTGCGAGTGATGTAACCCAAAGGAATGTGTAGAGTAGGGCCAGGGTGGGACCCAAAGGGCTGCGTGGAGTAGGGTGGAATGGGTGAGGCCCAGGAGTGGGCAGAGTGATTGAGGCCTGGCAAAGGGCAGAGTGTTAGAGGCCTAGCAAGGGGCCAGAGTTGTCAGCAGTTTAGATGCCAATCTGCAAGGCATTGGACACAGTGTAGAGGTAGTTTGGAGCCATGTATTTGGCCCAGTACACCACGGCCAAGATTAGGGAAGCCTCCCACACTTAACAACCATTATGGTAACATTAAAGGTGTGGCAGAGGAGGCAGGGTAGACTGCCCCAGGCAGAGGGCAGGACAATGATGTGAGTGGCTCAAGGGCAGAGCTTGTAGTTGCCCCCGTCAGTGTTTTAAAAAGCAATAGTAAAAAGCAAATATTTTGCCACGATCTGCAGGTAATTATAACATTCGATACTGAAAACAAGGAGGAATAAAAGTTCATACCTATCTCTGTCCTGGTGGGTCCAATTCCATTATAAACTCTCAGGTAATTAAAGTGGCAAGAATTTGAGTCTTCAATATCAAAGTCTCCAAATTTGAGCTGAACTCTCTCACCAGGTTTGACACGAATCTCCCACTCACACACTGAACTATTGGGGTAGGTCTGTGGGTAGTTTATTGAAGTAAAAGTTCCACTTTCAGGGCCTAGAACAGTATGTCCACATCCATCACCTAAAAAAACAAAAGTTTTAACAAAAATAGGTTATTCACACAGTATAAATCTTCAAAGTTTCATTTGTAGTCTCATCAACTTTGTTTTAATAGTGGTTCAAGTTTTTTCAAATGTGGCAATTAAACTCAAAAGCGAAAGTGGCATCAGGGAAACTATGAACATAACATGATAGGATTTAATAAACTTTATCTAGGCTTAATGTCTAAATACAAACATTTCAGTTAGCGCTACCTTTCTCAGCAGGTTAAATTAACCTGGGCAAATGTAGCTCCTCTGCTTGTGGTCCCAATAGTCAGTTGTTTTGTGCAAGCTTGGACATCTGTAGATGCAGTTTCATGCATTGTAAACATGCTTTATACTCCTTAGTCCATCTATCCAAAGAGCTACAACAATAACCTATTTGGGGGAAAGAGCAGCAGTGTAGGGATGCAGCCAGGCACCCTGGGCAAAGCGGAAGCAGTCACTTCTGATTTCCACCATGACAGTAAATGTGTGGTGGCTGGCAGCAGGCACATTTTTCAACCTTCCCCCAAGCTGGAGCTAGGGGCAATTGGTCCTAGCACCTTCCCCTTCCCCCTAATCACAGCACTGAAATGGACTTCCTATTTTGGAAAGTCAGTTGGCAATAGTTAATGGTATTACCACAATGTATATGATAATACATAAATAAATTAATACAGCTACCATGTTAGTGAAGATTTATGACTTTTAAGCAGAAAAAATGTAACACCTGTAAACCAAAGGTATTCCCAAAACATTCATGCCAAGCATAACATGACTACTAAGACAAATGATATTTAATAGTAACTAATATTTTTAAATTATCTTTAAGGAGAGAGTACTATGTAAGTGGCAAACATTAGTACTCATTCTATGAAGTCGGTTCAAGATGAAAAGTAGTTCTCAATATGACATTACATCCAGCTAAACTGTAACATTAGATACAAATCCCAGAAGACTAGATTCTCTAACAAGTATTTGTGTTAAGACTTAAGCCAGGGGTAGGCAAAATGTAGCCTGTGGGCCAGATGCGGCCCGCCAGCCCATTCTATCCGGCCTGTGGGGCTCCTAAAAAATTTAGAAAATTAATATTTATCTGCCCCTGGCTGCCTGTCATGTGGCCCTTGATGGCTTGCCAAAACTCAGTATGCGGCCCTCCACCTGAAATAATTGCCTGCCCCTGACTTAAGCAAAGACCACCACTTACTGTGCAGACCCCCTATGCCAGATTCTTGTGAGATGCATAACACTTCTAGAAGGGCTCACATAATTATAGGTGAAGACAGACCAGCCACGTGATACACTGGAGGTCCACCTGGTCTTTTGAGGGCAAAATCATAGGAGTTATGATTTGCCCAGAAAAATATATTGCTTTGAGTGTTCTGACTCAAACTTACTTGGGATTATAAAATGTTTGAGAGATCTATAATACTGGGTGGGCAGGGCCAGATTATGACAGGGTGGGGCCCTAAACTAGGGGCTGCCAACCTTTCTATGCTGCCCCCTGGCAAACTGTGAACCGAAAGCGGCTGCGGGCTGGCAAACTGTGGACCACCACACAGAGCCCCGTGGCTGGAATTTCCAGCTGGAACACAGGTAAAGATCCCTCCACCCCCAGGGCAGGGGAGTGGGCCCAACCTCAACCGCAGCTGCCACGGGCCCTGTGGGAGGAGTTGCAGCCTCTGTGCCCGGCTCTGTGGGGCCACTGTTTGCCGGTCCACTGTCACTTCCAGTCTGGGGGTTGGCTTAGAGGCCCCTCATAATGTTAGGCCCTAAGTTGCAGCTTTCTTAGCTTGTACCTAAATCCGGCACCATGGGTGGGCAACTGCCTAGTCTTTAGGAGTGCTGCCATGCACTGCGAAGCTCTACAAACCAACATTTCTTTCAGCCCAAGTTAGAAGTTACTTTTGTAGGCTGGTATTGCATCAGAGACATTTAGTGTTTTTCACTCGTATTACTGCCTCTTCCAGTTTGGAGAAACTGTATCATATTTTATTTAAGTATAAAAACTGAGACAGCTTTGGCCTTTTCTTTGCTTACATATGTGCTTTTACATTGATCTCCACCCCAAAAGCAAGGAAAACCACATCTGGACTGAAAGGAAAATTGTATCTAAAGTTCTGATCACTATTTTTCTGTATTCTTGGCCAGCTAGCATCTGATGAGGTAAGCTGCTGCTTATGAAAGCTTATGCACCTATGATTTAGTTAGTCCAAAAGGGACAATTGTACCTTGCCTTCTGCTTATTTCAGGCCAACATGGATAACTAACTCTCTCTCGGGTACCTTAAATACATGGTATTCAAGTCACAAAAGCATGCTAATAAGAATAGCAGAAAGCTGCATTGTTCCTGTCGCAGAGCACTGAGATGCCCTGCTCCTAAAGAGGGGAAACTGCTAGGGAGGAAGCCCTAGCAGGGAATAAGGAGCCCAGCTGCTGGTTGCCAGGGCAACCAAACAGCAGCTGACCAGAAGGGGCAGGGCCTGGCTCCCTTATAAACCCTAGGGGCTGGGGCTGGAGACAGTCCCCTGCCAGCAGCCAAGGAGGAAGGAGCTCTCTGTCATGGAAGAGAGGAGAAGCCTGATGCAGGAGCAGAATATGACTCTGCTGTGAGACGAAGAATCCCCAGTAGGCTTGAACTTGGTTATAGCCGGGTGGCTTCAGTTTATGTTATAGCCTAACATAAGGCTATAAGGGGCTTGCGTTTGTGTTGCTGTTTGTCACCGGTGGTTTGGGTGAGGCTACTAGGGGTTGGAGGAGGCCTCATAGGGGACCCACAGCAGTGTGCAAACCCCAACGCCAGCAAGGGCACAGCATTCGGGGTGCACAGCCCCCAGCCCCAGAAAGGGGGTGTTGCTGAGAAGCCCCAGAGAGGGGCAGTTGAGAAGCCCCAGAGAAGGGGGCGTTGCTGAGAAGCCCCAGTGTGGGCGTGGTGAGCCCCGGAGAAGGGGGCAACATTGTGGTGAGCCCCGGAGAAGGGGGCAGCATTGTGGCGAGCCCAAGGGAAGGGGGCAGCATGTGGAAGGGGGCAGCATTATTGAGAAGCCCCAGAGAAGGGGGCAGCATTATTGAGAAGTGCCAGAGAGAGGGCGCAGAGAGCCCGAGCGCCAGAGAGAGGGTGTAGACCTGGACCAAACAACATCTATTCCAGCTGCGAGGCTTGGGGCGTGGTAAAGGGGTGGTTGGAGCCACACATAGCCCATAAGGCTAGGGTGCCCCTGAAGCACCCATTGCAGATAGCACCCCTGGCATCAGGGCAGTACAAGGGCAGCCTCCCGCTAATTAACACCAATTAACCAATTAACAGCATGGCATGGCAGGAAAGAGGGCGGGCGTTTGCCCCAGGAACAGGTGTGCGGGCCCCGTTTAGATGGGCCCAGAGCAGATACCTGTTACAGTTCCTTACCCTAAACCTTTTAGGTCATAGAAAGACTAAGAAAATAGGTTATATTTTAAAATTTGGCAGCAGGTAGCAGTGTTCATTGCTCTCATAGCCACTGACATAAGTGATGAACATCTACAGTTTGTAAAATTCAGTCTTGTTTCATTGACCAGAAGTAACCTCTTCCTACCTACTGGTAGAGAAACTGCTGGAAATACATGCTTTTAAGCAAATGCATCAACGTTTTGCTTCAGGCTCTTGAAGCTGGGTGAATCAAAACCATACTCGGGCCCTTTCTAAAGTAGAAGACTGGGCATGGCTGCTACAAAGCAGTATTCCTCATCAAATGCAAGCACAAATGTATCAGTATAAAATACTGTATAACTAGGGACCTACCGAATTCATGGCAGAAGCAGAGTGTGCAGCTGCTTCTTTAATCTTGCATGTTCCTATGTGCACCTCACCCACTGCCCCCCCACCCTGGCTCCTGATTAGTGGAGGACCCTGCTGCTCCCTCCTGATTAGCAGGGAAACTAAAACCGTGGTTAAACATGGTGCCATTTTTGCCTTCCCACCAGTCAGCAGCAAATAGCAGGGCCGTCTGGAGCCCCTCAGCCAATCAGTAGCAGGAGGCAAAAACGGCACCATCTTTAAAACTGCAGTTTTCACCTCTCTGCTGATCAGGAGCAAGCTGCAAGTGGGGCGCCTCCACCAATCAGTGAGGGGGAGGGGAGGGTGCAAGGGAACCTGCAAGATTAAAGAAGCCACAGTGCACCCCACTTCTGCCAAGAATCTGATAGGTCCCTATGTATAAGATATTAGCTATTATAAGAGTAAAATACATGAGTAAAACTGGGTTCTTAAAACAACTTATACTGCAAAAGTTGATTTGGACTATGATTTTTATATCAATAGTTACAAAGCAGGTATAGAAATGCAGGTCTGGCATGTAAGGGAATGGAAATAGTAGTAAGCACTTCAATACTCCTAGAAGGTCTAAATTATGTTAAGTGGCATTGGCAGTCCCATTAAGAATCACTGTGTCAAGTAGAGCTGTGCGAAGCTTCAAGTGGTGATTCAATTCGAAAAAGATTCGGCCCGACTCGGTGGCCAAATCTCCAAATCTGAATCAAATCAGAGGACTAATAAAAAGGTCTGAATCAATTCGAAGCTCTCTGAATCTTCGAAGTTTTCTGAATCTTTGGAAAAGATTCGGAGAGCTATGATGATTTGGGCAGTCCCCACCCACTGCAGCAGGGAGCTGGAGCTGGACTTGGAGCTGGTAAGTAGGGGGCAGGGGAGGGGGGGCTGGTGGAGGGGCCTGCACCACATGGGAGGCTCTGTCACAAGTCACCCCCCCCCCAGCCCCCTACTACCAGTGAATCACCGAGTCAAATCACTGTCCCGCAAATCGGCAAAGCCGAATCCGAAGTGGATGCTAGCCGGTTTGCACAGGCTTAGTATCAAGTCAGACTTCTCTACTGTCTCACATCAGCCAGTTATTTTAAGTATGCCTTTTTGTGTGTCCCATTTAGAACAGAGATAGTAGAAATCCCAGATTCTCATGCCTGAAGAATTTACAGATTATCACTGCATGTCTGGCATGCAAACTACAGT